ACTATCTTCTGTAATCCATTATTTCTAAAGTGAAGTCAACCATAATTATCTTTGTTCCCTTAGTATATAATATGCTTTTCTTTCTCCCTCAGCTGCTTTTTGAGAATTTCCCTTTGCCTTTGGTTTGCAGTAATTTGATTATGATTTACATAAATATGGTTCTCTTTATATTCATCTTGCTCAGAGTTTTCCTCAATTTCTTCCAAGTTTTTCCAATTATTTCTTAAAATATTTTTCTGCTTCATTGTCTCATTTACATACTCCAGTTTTGTCTATATCCATATATCTATATATCTATATCTATATATTTGTTAATGGAATTTGATATTCTTCTGCAGGTCATTGTGGGTCTGTTCATTTTTCTTCAATATTTCACCTCTTTTCTCAGATTGGGAAATTGTGTCTGTCTTTAAGTTCATTGACTATTTATTTCTGCCATCTCCAGTCTTTTGTTAAGCCTATCCAGTGAATTTTTAAATTTCATTTATTATAGTTTGTAATATAATTTTCCTTATTTTGTCTTTTTGTATAATTTTGTCCTTTTTCTGCTGAACTTCTCCATTCATTAAGACTATGTTTCCTTTGATTCTTTTCACATATTCTCTTTTATTTTATTGAGTACATTTATAATATCTTCTTTAAAGCCTCTGTCTGCTAAGTCCAAAGTCTAGTTCTCTTAGGTTTGGTTTCTATGGATCAATGTTTAATTTTTTATGGCTATGGATCGTATTTCCTATTTCTCTAAATCTAGTGATTTTCAGTGAATAATGGATATTGTGTATATTCCATCAGAGAGACTCTAAATCTGTAATCTTTCTCAGGTCTGTTGGCTGTTGTTTTAGCAGACTGTTCAATTATGGACTCATCATGCCGATCTTGTATAGGCTTGGTTTTACACTATTAATGCAAATCTATGAAGAGCCCAAATTGTTGCTCTAGATTCTCTAAGTTTATGGGAAACAACCTCCAAATCCGTCTTGTCTGTGGATCTTGTTGGGGTTTGCATGTAGACTTTTTAAGGAAAGGTCTAGAGAAGGACTTTCTCCTGGGTATGATTCTAACTCCTAAGAGAGAGCCTCTCTTATTTTGTTTGTGTTGCCAGGGTCATTGATGAAATCTCTTTAACGTCACTTTAACATTGCTGAAATCCCAATATTCCCTTTTGCTGTTCCCCCAGAACTTCTTGACCTCCTCATCTCTGCTGTGCTGTCAATCCCATAAAAGCTGCAGTGTTGCTCTGGTGGTGTAAATCTTGGGTTTTTCTGGTCTTGTACGTGTACAGCCAGCCTTCAGCTAAGCCTCATGGGGAAACCCTGTGCAGACTTCCACATTCAACCCTGCTTACCTCTCTTCTTTCTATTACGCGGGCCCACAGATTCTAACTACTTCAAATGTCCAGTACTCTAATCTGACTCAGTGGGACCTTCATATTCTGCTTGAATTTCAGGGATCTGTGCCAA